GTCCCCCTCGGGCCCCAGCCCCAGGCCCTGGCTGTCGATGATGGGACATTGCTCCGGCTCCTTCCGCGCCTCCTCCCGCCCGCCCTGGGCGCCGCCGGGGGACGGTTCTCCCACGCCCTTGGTGGCCCAGGCCACGTCCTCGGGGTAGAGCATGTCGAAGTAGTGCAGGCAGAAAGCGGGCAGGGGCTGCTCGGGGGTGCCGGGGGGGCTGGGGCTCTCTGGGCAGCCCCAGCTCCGGGGTGCGGGGTCCCGGGGCGGCGGCAGCGGCGCAGGGTCCGGCCAGGCGAGGCGGCCGGGGGGCAGAGCGGTCAGCCCGGGGCTGGCACTGCCCATCCCTCCGCTCAGCACCGGCTCCAAACCTGCCCGGAGAGGAGAGAGGAGCAGAGCTCAGCCCGGTGCTGCTCCTGCCTTCCCGCCCAGCAGCCAGGCACAAAGGGAGGAACTAAGCCTGTTAGAGATGAAAAAACCTCCAAATTCGCCCCACGGCGCCCTGCAAACCTCGGGATGAGTGCGGGTTTGGGGTCAGCCACGGCTGGGGGGGCTGCCCTCAGCTGGGGGGACCAGCAGCACCAGCTGGCAGGGAGAAGGAGCACAGCAGACTGGCAGGATCTGACCCCCCTGGGTGTTCAGGGTCTCCCCATGGATTGCACACCAGGCTGGCAGCAGCTCAGTCCCAGCTGGAGCTGAGGCCCTGGCAGGAGGCAGCAGGGGATGAGGGGGCTCCTGACACCTGAACAGGGCAGCCCTGGGGTGACAGGGGATGCTTGAGCCACAAGGACACATTTCTGTGCATGGAAAACCCCTCCTTCTGCTGCCACCTGAGGGTACCCCAGCACAGCAGCCCCCAGACCCCAGATCTCCCCGGTGAGCCCGAGTCCAGCACCGCAGCACCGGGCCCTTGGTCACCAATGCCAACCCCCGGATGAGAACTTTGCTTGCAAGAAAGGATAATTGCAATTACCCTCACTCTCTTGCAAGAAAAACTGCCCAAAATCAGCCTGTCCCCATCTGTCTCCGTACGCAGGGAGTCCTGGAGACCATGGAGAAGAGGATGAACCTGCTGAATTTCCATGGCAACACCAGGGAATGGCTCCATCCATGGATAAACCTCCCCAAGAGCCATCCTGAGGCTTTGGGAAGGGGAAGCCCCTGCCAGGGAGAAGCTGGTGATGGGCATGGCCAGGCCACTGCCCAGCTCCTCTGCCTCCAGCATTGCATTTTACAAGAAGAAAAGGAAGAACCATCCAAAATTGGTGGTTTAAAAGCAGAAAAAGGAGCTTTAACAACAGAGCTGACACTCAGAAAGGAGCATGCCAATCCCCCCTAAGGAAACCAGGCAGCCCTGAAGGGAGAACAGGGGGCACTGGCCAGGGAAATGGGGTGTCCTGTTTGCTCCAAACCCCAGCGAGGGGGAAATGCCCATCACTTCACCCTTGGAAAAGCCTGGAGAGCTCAAAAAAACCACACAGAGGAACCATGGACACCTAACCAGCCCCTTGGCAGCCTGAGCCCACGGGGACCTGGGGAGGGGTTCTGGGTTAAGAGCTGGAGTCTGTGACCCTGAACGGTTTCCGTGGCACCGCAGAGAGGAGGAGGAGGGAGAAGGGGTGCCCAGATCACTGAGCTGCCCCCACCACCCAAACAGTTTCCCTGAGAGATGGCACCGACTTCCAAAGCTCTCCTTGATTGGGTTGGGATTAAAAGAAGAGCTGTAGGAGATCAGCCCTAAATCCAGCCCCACGCTGCTCCTGGCACAAAAGGGAAGTGGTAACAGCTTGTGCAGCTGCACGGTGCCGGCCATGGGGATGTCTGGGGAGGGGATGGGGGTCTCCAACACCTCCAGTGCTCTGAGGTCATGGTGCATCCTCCGCCCTCCACAGCTGTAAACCGGACACATGGCAGAGCGGGGCTGTGGAACTGTACATGGACACGGCAGGACAGACAGCCCCAGCCCCATCCTCATCCTGTTCCCCTCCTCCCAGCTGGGACCAGAGGGACCCAAACCCTGGGAAGTGTCCCCAAAAGCCCGTGCCGTGCCCCACCAAGGGCACTGTACTCTCAGGGCGGGGGCCACTGTTTGACTTTCTCCTGCTCCAGCAGCCGGGATGGGTGGGACCTGTTTGTGCCGAGGAGCTGCTTTGGGTGGCTGTTTCCCTCTCCTCTTCTCTCCCTTTTTGCATTTCCCCTGGAAAAGAAGAGCTGGAGGGGCAGCCCCAAGTGCACTAACCCTCATGGGACTCCCAAAACCTTCCCATTCCCTGCCCGAGCTGGACGAAGCTGCACTGGGTGTTACATCAGCCCTGGCAGAGGCTCCCTGGCTGCTGACGGGCTGAGTGAGGCCCCAGCTCCACAGGATGGGATGGGGCAGCAGGGCTGGGATGGGGCAGCAGGGCTGGGATGGGGCAGCAGGGCTGGGATGGGGCAGCAGGACTGGGATGGGGCAGCAGGACTGGGATGAGGCTCCTGCGCTCTCCAGGACACGAGGCCAGTGTGAGCCCAGGGCTGTGGGTGGTGCTGGGTCACAGCTCAGCTCTGCAGGGACCCAACCCCACACGGATCTCACAGCCAAGGGGGGTGGGGATGGGGCCAAGGACCCCCCACGTCACCCCAAACTCTCCTGGCAAATGCAACCCCCCATGGCTCAGGGCCCCAGCAGTGGTGCAGTGCTGGGATCAGCCCTTGGGAGCGAGAAAAAACTAAATATCAGAAATTCACCCACCCCCCACCCTCGAACAATGGGTCCGTTAATTAAACCAAATCCGCGGTGGAACAGGTTGTGCCGGAGCGCTCGGGAAGCCCCGTGGGCCCAGGGTTGGCCCAGGGTACGAGGAGGTGCTGCCTGTGGCACCCGGGATGTCTCCCAAACCCCCAGGCACTTCCCAAAGCCCTTCCCAGGCAGCAGGGGTGGGGGTCAGGGCCAGGGTTCAGGGTCAGCTCCAACCCAGGCTGAGGCTGGGGACAGGGACAGGGACAGGGACAGGGACATGCTGTTTTGTGCCAGGAGGAACCAGGGACATGTGGCACCCAGAGCTGTCCCAGACTGCCCAGAGCAGCCTGGATTAAGCAGGCAAAGGGACCTGGGGTCCCTGCACGAGCCAGAGCTGCAGCAGGGACCCAGAGGAGTGCTCAGAGGCTGCTGATAATTTGGGGTCCTGTCAGAACGTCCCATCCACCCTGTGAGCCCCACAGTGCCAGCCGTGCCACGTCCCTCCTGGCTGCCAAACCCTGTGCCACGCACCCCTCTTATCTCTGGGTGGAGGGAGGAGGATTGGCCAAAACCTCCCCACAGCCAGGGCAGGGACTGGGAAGGGCACTGGGGGACTGGGAAGGTGACAGCCTGGGGACTGAGCTCTGGTAGCTGTGTGGTTACAGGGTTGGGACCAGGGCAAGCCCTGGGCTCACTTCAATGTACAGCCAGGAGGGATGCAGCCCATCCCAGGGGTCCTGGACCCTTAGCTCCCCACCAGCCTCCTCCAACACCACCAAGGTCCCCCAGCTCCTCCTGCCATTACCTGCATGGCTGCTGGCATGGGGACCGGGTGTCCCCACGGGTCCCCACACCCCGGGTCAGGCTGCCCTCTCCACCGGCACAGGGAGGCAAACAGCAGTGGCGGGGACAGGCACAACCTGCCAGTGACCTGACCAAAGCCTGGTGCTTGGTGTCCCCCAGGTGAGCAGCAGAGCTTGGTGTTCCCCATGTGGGGCCAGGGAGCCCCTATTTATAGCAGCCCCTTCCCCCCCGTGCTGCCAGCCTGGAGAATGCCCGTATTGTGGGTTCTTGGCAGCCGCGCCGCGTTTGTGTTTCACCAACCGAGCAGAACCACGAAAACCAGACCCGCAGCCAAAGGGACTTCAGGGCTGACAAAAAAAACACCCATCAAGAGAGCAGCTGGGACAGCGCAAGTCTGGAAAAGGGGTTCAGCTGCACAGAGACACCCTGGAGCTGGCATGTCCTTGATGGCCACCTGGGCCCTGGGCCACTCCCTAAGGAGCCCCGGCTGCTGGTCAGTCACACGGTGCCCCAAGGACACTGTCCCTGCCAGCACAGGGGCTGGTGGGACCCTCAGGGTCCCTGCTGGTACCGGGTGGGCTTGGGAGGAGCCACCCTGGGAGTCCTGGCTCCCACCCTCCTTGCTTGAGCAAGAGGGGGTTGCAAAGACACAAAATTAGCAAATCCCATTTAATTTTGGGTGACACCATCCCAAGAAGTGCCAGAACCCCATGCCAAGGGACAACCTGTCCCTGTTTAGGCTTAATGGCACCTGGAGGTGCAAGGAACTGTGGGAGGGGATGTTGACATGCGACGGCCCCCTGTCCTCCCCACACTGGTGCTGAAAGGGCCGTGGGAGCCCCTGAAGGGAGGGAAGGTGAGTCGGGTGGGTGCTGATGGAGCACTGGGAGCCGGGGGTCATGTCTTACCTCGAGGGTGCGCGGGCAGCTCACAATCCACATGGGTCCCGGTGCAGGGTGGGAAGAGCCATCCCCGTGGTGCTCGGTGCGGTGGCTGTGGGGGGCATGGCCCCGAGGGGGGACCCCGGCACTGTCCAGCAGCTCCTGCCCGGCTCAGCCCCGGGGCAGCACGGCCGGGCTGAGCCACATCGGCTCCGGGCGGACACCGACGGGAGGGGCACAGGGACAGGGACAGGACAGGGACAGGGACAGGGACAGGGACCGGCCCCGGGCACCCCGGGCGGCTCCGAGGGCGGCAGAGGGACGGAGCCGTGCGAGGGGGACCCGGCAGCGAGTGTCACGGCTCAGCCAGAGCCTCCTTTGCCCATTATATCCGATTCCTTCCTTATTTACCTGAACAAACAAGCGGCGCTTACCTCAGCCGCGGTGTTTGAACAGCCCGGGCCGGGTTAACCCTTGGCAGGCGCCGGGCTCAGACCCGAACGGGCCCGGGGAGGGGAGCGGGGGCACCGTTAACCCCTTCCAGCCTGACCTGGACGAGACCAACGGCTCTTCCTGGAGTCAGACCTGCAGCACAGAGACCTGCTGGATGCCTGGGAGCCCCTGGCCAGGCCCTGTGCCATGGCACAGCTCCCAGAGCAGGTGGGAGCATCCCTGAGGGATAACCCAGGAGCATCCCTGACCTGAACCCTGGGACCATCCCCTATCCAAGGTCTGCAGCCTCCGGGGGTTTGTCACAGAGCCCGTGATCAAGAGGGCTCAGAGCCACTGGGGGTGAGGGGAGCCCCTGACAGCACCCAAACCCTCCTCACCCTGGGGACATGGCACTGGCCAGTGCCTGGGGTCTGTGCCCGCTGCTGCAGGTGGGACTGGGCACGGGGGCACGGCTGGAACATGCAGCACTCCGGGCCCAGGTTGTCTCCACCGGCATAAGCAGGAAAAAGCTGTTCTGAGCGAGACAGACACCGAGTTGGTATTTATGGTCTTTTTTTTAGCACATGAAGCAGGCAGGGCAGTTCAGGCGGTTCTCCCACACACGTAGCGCTGCTAAAATCCAACTCCCCCGTGCCCTAAATACCCACGTCAGACCAAACCCCACTACAGACACCCACGGTGCAGCTCAGGTCGGCCCCACGTCACCACATCCCAGTGGCCCGTCCCCAGCCCATGGAGTGGCAGAGCTGGTGACCCCCCCTGCCCCGAGCAGGGCTGATAAGCCATCCATGGGAAATGTTTGCTGGGAGGAAAATAAAACCCGGGGGGAGGCGACCCCAGCCCGGGTGCTGGGAAAGGCCTTTGCTGCTATCGGCAGCACCAGGAGTTTCTGCCTCCCTTAGAAACTCCTCAATGTTATCTTATCGTGGGGAAAGCTCCCCCCGGATCAGGGCTCCCGTGTCCCAGCGGAGCTGTTTTGGTAAACACAGCCTGGAACACGTGGCGGTGGCTGTGGGGGACACGGGGGGACCCCTGGGCCAGCGGCTGCGTTGGGAAGCCACCAGTCCCTGGTCAGGCTTTGCCAGGGGTTGGGCACGTGGGATGGGGATGTGGCACAGCCAGGAGGGCATTCCAGGCCCCCCAGTGTCTCCCCTCAGTGCTCCTGACTCTTGGCAGCCATAGCAGAGCCCCCCCCCCTCATTTGGAGCATCCTCTGCTTTGGGCAAGGCCCCACAGGCACCCAAACCTGCTCCTGTGTCCCACCCCACCATCTCCTGAGGGCACCTGGGGCAGGAGCATCCCAGCAAAGCCCCAGGGCTGCAGCCTTCCAAGCATGGATACCTCCCCCAGAGCATGGGAATGCAGGTGTCTCAGCCAGGGAGACTGAGGATGCAGGGTGAGATCACGGGTGAACTCTACACCAGGCTCACACAAGACATGCTGGGAAGCCACAGCGCCCATCCCACCCTTCCTGTGGCCGCTCTGTGCTGCTGCCCCACGCCCAGGCTGCATGAGGGGCACATTTGGGGAGCAGGTTATGGTTTGCATGGGCTCTGAGAGCTGGATTTGCTGTGACACCACCTCCAGGTCACCCTCGTTTATTGGGTTTCTTTACAACCTCACCAGAGCAAACACCGAACCAGAGCACCCGAGGGAGGCAGGAGCAAGGCGGAGGAGAGCACAACTGGGGACACTGGGCAAGACGTCACCAGGCAGAGGGGATGCACCAGCAGTCTCTGGTCCCTGCTCCGGAGCATCCCAGACCCGTGTCATCCTGGGCTGTCCGGGAGCCTGTTGCCCAACTCACACCTCAGTCTGAAAGAGCTTTCCCTGCTCCTCTTATCAGTAGCACCGGGATCTTGATAAGAATAAGAGATTAAAGGGAAAAACATTTGCTTTTCTGGGCTCAGGGAGAGCTAGGCAGCACAGCACTGCAAAACCAGGCAAAAGGCCCCAAAATGACACCTCTCCAGCCGCCCGGGGTGTCACCGGCTCCGGCCGTGCCGGGCTCTCCCCGCCGCCTTTCGCAATCGCAGCTCGGCACAGCTCTGCTTGCACATGCAAACCAGGGAAAGGAGAGATTGCAACACCTGAGGAGCAGCAAAAGAGAGAAACGAAGTCTGGCTTTTCTGCCCCGTGTGCACAGTTTTCAGTGCCTTTTCCTTGTCCTCCCTGTCAACTCATCGGCTCCGATTCCGGTGCCTTTTGCCATGAAACTTCTGAACGCTTGGGAACGTGGCCAGAGAGGAGACACGGAGAAACTACTCATGAATCAGCCTGGAAGAATCTCTGCCCACCTGCTCACAACTAATCTCTGGCTCCATCACAAGAATAATAGATAAGCAGCCATGTCACATATAATAAAACTATTGAAGGCCCTTGATGTCACTGCACAAACCACAGAGACCACGGAGCCCGACCTGTCCGCACACGCAGTTGTGCTTCCTGGTCCCCTGCAGTGGTGGGACTTCCTCTGCTCCAGTTCCCACACAGCCTTTGGGGACAGTGGTGGTCCCTGTGCAGAACCAGGGTCCCTCTGAGGCCACATCCTGCACCCCATGTCTGTGCCTCAGGGCGATGCTGAATCAGGGTGAATCCCCGCTCTCAGGCTGCAGGATGGGCACACTCAGGCTTTTCTGCAGCCCAAGGAGACTGGAAATGGTTGAAATGGTTGAAGTACCTTTAATACATCCCCCCCACCCCTTGGAAGGGACCTGGGAGGTGACAAGTGCTCTGCAACAGAGCCCAAAGTTACCCAAGGGCAGGGAGTGCGAGTGCAGAAACCCACAGGTGTGCACAGAGGGACTTTTATGGCACAATGACCCCGTGCAGACCTACCAAGGAGGGTGCTGGGATTGCTCCAGAGCCAAGACTACCTGCATGCCCTCAGACTCCTCCTCACCCCATCAGACATTCCCACTTCCCGGGCAGCCCCAGGGCGAGCAGGGCCGCTCCTCTTTATTACCCCCCCAGCTCCTCCATCTCCCAGCTGCTGCCATAAACCCCGTTTACAGGGCCCTGTGTGTGCTCGGGGCAAACAGCCACGTTATTGCTGCGGCCCCCACCCTGACAGAGGGGACAGGGCTCCCGGCCCTGCTCTGCAACTGGGTCCCCACTGCTGCACTACAGCCCTGCTCGGGTCCTGGCCACTGCCCTGACATCCCATCCCCACTGCCTGAGGCTCCTGGTGCTCCTGGGCTGCTGCAGGTGGGACTGTGGTGTCACCTGCACTCCAGGGCAGCCCTTGAGGGTGCAGAGGGGGTGTTGTAGAAACCAACTCCGTGCAGGGGTGCAAGGGTGGATGTCTGCTCCACACTGGTAGCACGGACACAGAGGTGCTCACCTGGCCCCATGCAAAGGCTCCTTCACACCCTACGGTGACAGAAGGTGGACAGTGCTTGGCCCTGGGGTGTCACAGTCCCTTCTGCAGCCTGGCTGTACCTGGGATGGCAGCTGAAGAAGGACAAGCTGGAGGTGGGTGACGATGCCAGGATGGTGGCAGCACGGCCCTCAGCCCGGCCACTGGACCACCAGCTCTCCACCCTGGCCACCCCACTTCCCCCAGCACCCCCCGGGCTGGGTTCCCAGTTGGGCCAAGCACTGCCAGTGCAAACCCGGGTGACGCAGGGGAGGTCGCGGGAGCAGCAGATCCACCACTGTGTTTGCTGTTCCCTGCCCAAAGCCCTGCTCTTTTCTTCCTCCAGTTGCGTTAAACTCCTGCTTTTGTCTCTTGAGATTAAAAGCCTGGAAATGGCTGTGGGTCGCATGGCAGTGCCAGGAAGAGAGGGCTCAGGGCAGGCTGGGCGTGTCCTGCTCCCTGCAGGGTGAGGAAAGGTCACAGCTCCCCCCACACTGTCACTGCCACCAGAGATTTGGGGTGCAGAGGAGGGAAACCCCCTGTGCGGGGAAGGATCCTGCGCTGGGCTCTTCATGCAGCTGCTGCATCAGCACACGAACCCCAGATCACACCCAGTACAAGAGAACCCCCCAAAATAAGTCCCACAGGCCCCGTACTCCTGTTTCCTCACCATCACCCTCATCCCGCCGGCACACGGGAATGGGGCAGCGGGGCCAGCAGGGCCTGGCTGTGCTGTGGGCCCGGGGCCGTTCCCAGGCACACACGGGCAGCCAGGTGAGACGGGCCGGGCCCGGTGCCAGCAGACGGGATGTTGTCTTTTCACACAGCCCCGCGCGGGCCGAGCGGCAGCGAAACCCTCCGCGGCTTCGGTTCCCACACTGGGTGCCACTGAGAAATGCAAATTCATTCTTCTGCTGCCGCTGGTTCTCCCCACATGCAAAACGATCCTCGGGCATAACGGCCCCACGGAGCGTCAGCCCAGGGAGTGTGGGAGCCGCTGGGCAGGGGAGCAGCCCGGGGGAGCGGGAGGCACAGGCAGCTCCTGCACTCCTGAGGACACACAACGCTGGGGCAGCACGCGGTGCCCCAGGAGCAGGGGAGGCTCTTGGCAGTGGTTTACCCTTGGTTCCTGTGCTGTCCAGCCCAGGAGAGCCTGCAGAAGGTTCTGCCCCAGAGGAAAGACCCTAAAAGCAACCACAAAACCCACACTCAGCCCGGTCTCAGCTCAAAGTAAGAGCTGGTGGGGCTGGAAGGCGAAGGGTTGCAGGGTGACCAGAGGCATTCCCCTCCTATTGCTCCTGACCTGCTGAGCCAGACTTGCAGCCCCAGGGGAGCAGAGAGGGGAGGACTCCCCTGTGCTCCCCTGTACAGAGGGCAGGGACCCCACAAGGGATGAGGCAGCTTCACATCCTGCAGCATTCCATGGAGCTGTGGGTCCCCTGGGGCTGCAGGGGACATGGAGCTGCTCAGCAGAGCCAGCCATGACTCAGCTGTGACTCACCCGGCTCCGAAGGAAACGTGTCACTGCCGTGAGCATCGCCCAGCTCAGGCACCTCGTCCTGGGGGCTCAGCAAGGAGCCAGGACCTGGGGGCTCACATAGGGGAAAAATGGTGTGGGAGAGGGGCAGGACCCCAAATGAGGTCCCACATGTTCTGCCTTCCCCCACTGCACAGGCTCTAGGCTGGCCTCAGAGCTTGGAGGGATTTACTTTTCCCTGACAAACAAATGACCCTGGGGGCAGCTCATGGGCACCCCTGGTCTCAGCTGCCCAGACACCGTGAGGAGCCACCATTCCTGGAGTCTGGTCTGGGAGGAGGGAGCTGTGACAGATACCAGGAGCTGGGCAGGGGGGACACAGAGCTCCCCACAGACCTGGGCCCCAGCACCTGCCAAAGCCCTGCCGGAGACAGGCAGCATTCCTTGTGGCAGCCCTGGTTTCTCAGGGCAGATATTAAAGCACAAAGTCATTAATGCTCTGTGAGGGAGCAGAGAGCCAGACCTCTGGCCCTGGTGTGGGATGTGACCCAAAATGGTTCCGTGTTCCCCTTGAAGGGCTGTCCCGGCCACAAGCCCAGCTCTTCCCATCCCAGCTCTCCCCATCCTGGCTTTCCTCATCCTGGGGCTGGCTCAGGCATTGGCAGAGCAAGGACATCGCTTCTCTCCTCAGCAGTGGATTTTGAGGGCAGCAAAATGTTTGTTCTGTCAACACGTGCCTAATCCTCAACCAAAAGCCGATGAAAACGCCATGGGAGAGGAAGGATGGGAATAAGCTGCCCTTTGAGACAAAGCCCCGGTGGTGACAGCCACAGGCCTGGCTGGGGGAACAGGAATCCTCTACCAGCACCCCAGCACCGGGCAGGGCGGGGGGACGGCTCCCCATGGAGCAGGGATGGGCTCCAGCTGCAGCCTGGCCCTGCCACAAACCCAAGCAGGATCTCCAGCTCCATGTAGGAGGTGCAGCAAACACATCCTTGCTCTGCAGGGATTGCCTGGCCTCAGCAGCCAGTCCCGGCTCCTTCCCCTTGAAACTGCAGCCAGCGGGAGAAGGCAGCACATGGACACGTCCCTGCAGCCACTCTGGGACTGTCCCTGTCCCTGCTGACACTGTCCCAGCACACGCTGTGACACTGTCAACGGGCTCACCTGAGGATTAGCATTTCCAGATGACCCATAAAACCTTTTTCCTGGTGGGATGAAACAACACTGTCCTGTGAGGCTCATTTCCAGGCTGGCTGGGGCTGGGCTGAGCAAGCAGTGCTGCCCCTCACTGCCCAGCCCAGGGCAGGCCCTGCCCCAGCCCCAGCAGGGACCCCTCCCAGCACCAGCCCTGCAAGCCCTGCACCCTTCACCAGCAAAAAAAAAAAAAGGGAAAAAAAAGGTACATTTAGCAGTTTCCATTTGTTTGCTCTTTAAATAATTGTTTCCTTATCGCTATTGATTTAGATCCCTTTAAAATTCTGACAAACCTGCTTCTCAGGCACTGTCACCTGCTTCCTCCCAGCCTGGTCCCCGCAGGCAAAGCAGAGCAGCTGAGCTCCTCCCGAGGAGGGTCCCCTGCTCAGGGAGGCACCCACACACTGTCAGCCCCCACTCACCACCTCCTTAACAAGATGGACAAACCAGTCACCACAGAGAGCTCTCAGTCCTGTGATGGGGAGCAAGGACGAGCCCAGGGCTGCCCAGGCCCCCTCTCCTGGGGCAGGTGAAGCAATGGGCACTTGCCCAGGTGGCTGGAAAGGCAGTGGCTGCAGTGGCCACGACTGCCCAACTCCCTGCAGAATCCAGCCAAGCTCTGCTCTGGCCGCCAACGGCCCCAGTTAGTGCAGCACAGGGACACCAGGGCCAAGGCAGGACAGGACGGGTTCAAGTGTCCCTTGAGCATGGCTGGGACATTCCTGTGGTCTTGCTGGGGACAGGGACCCTCTCTGCTGCCCACCACAGCAGTGCCAGTCCTCAGGCACCTCTCACTGCCACCTACCAGAAGGGTCACTGCCCCGCTGGGCTCACGGGGGCATGAGGGGCTCCAGTGCCACCCTGGGTCTGGGGCTTCACTGCTGCAGTTTGACGTCACAGCCCAGCCTGCAGCTGTCAATTAATTGAGGAAACCCAGCCATGGTAAACAACGAGGAGGGAAAAGGCAGCAGATTAGATAACAAGGAATGTGAGTTCTTGCTGTGTTTCCCCCTGGAAAGCCAGTGCTGCACAGACCCTGCTGAGCCCGGCTGCTCCATACCAGCAGCACAAGGGACTTGGCCCCAGGGGAGGCTGAAACCCCCATCCTGAGGGATACTTTCCTAGAAAAGGGCCTGGCTTACCCCAGCCCCGAGGTTTGAGGGTCTCTCCCTCCCTCCTGCAGAGCTGTGCATCGCCCTGGGGCTGGCAGTGGGAGCAGAGCACCCAGACCCCCTTTTCTCCACAGCAGACATCCCCCTCCAAACTGGGACACGACATGGACCTCCTGCTGTGCAGGCCCTTCCTCATCCCCAGCCGGGGGGGTCCTGTCCACGGTGTCCCGGCCC